TTTGTTCCTGTCAACTGGAACTTTTCACTACAGCGTCGGAACATTTTCACTGTAATTTTAAGTATTTAATCTTGATATTTTTTTCCGGGGCAGACCTAAATTTGGAACAAAAACATGCTTACATCATAACCTACTTAACCCTTTCGCCCCGACTGCCCGATTTATCGGGCAGGATAAACCGTGTCCCAGGACCCGGCTGCCCGAAAAATCGGGCAGCATAAGCCGAGGTCCAGAACCCGGCTGCCCGATAAATCGGGCAGCGCGACCGTGTTTACAAAATCGCTCTTTCTACTTCCTTTCTCGTATGTAATCTCGTTCTAAATATGGAAACGAGATCTACACGTATTGACACGTCATTCGATGGAATTTCCCCGTCTTTTTGGCGCGAAAATCGCGGGTATGTCACCTGTTTTCGCGACAGGTATTTTTCTCGCTTGAATCGTAAATCAAGCGTAATGGCGGCCAACTACGATTCGGATAGCGATCAGATGATTAACAACGACTATATCGGGAATAATAATGTGTTTGAATTGAATAATTTACGCGAAGGGGAGAGGGAATTTCGCGAATATTTTCGTGAAGATTTTGACGGTTTCGACGAGGTGTCCCCCCCCCGCCAACTTTCGAGAATGGGAGTGGCAGAGGGACACACGACAGTGGAGACATGAGGGATTTTGAAGAGGCGACCGGATTCAAGAATATATATTGACACGGTGAGTGAAGAGTCGTGCTATTGATTTTTTCCAACTGTTTTACAATGATTCTGTGTTTGAACAGATTATCAGTGCGACGAATGAGAATGCAGCCTACACGTGAACGAGCGATCACAACAACAACAAAGGTGAGTGGCATGACGTATCTGTTTGTTTTTTTTTAAATTTATTTTTCTGATCGAAATCCGAATTGTAGTTTGCCGGTTTGTCGTATGTCCTTATATTTCGCTCAATTTGAATAAAATTTATTTCCATATTCATGTTTGTTTTCTTGTTTTTTACATCTTAATTTAAATTTTAGTAACTGTAATGATTATTTATTTATTAATTGATTTAATAAAGTACTGATTTAATTTATTATGCAATTGTAAATAGCAGTGTATTGTAAATATGTTATCACAACTTGTATATTTGCAGAACTTGAATTTACGATCTTTCCGTCCTTTTACAATGTTTCCCTCTTCAGATCAATCTGTGTTATCTTCCCTGTGATGTCATTCTTATAGTAGCTGTGGTTCAATGTTCAGATAATGTGATAAATAACTTTTTAAAAACTTAAATACTTAATTTTTGTTTCAAATCCTGAAAAAGAACAAAATAAATCAAATATTTGTGTTTTTACCTGTGTTAACGAGTTTACCTGCGTTAACAAGTTTACCTGTGTTAACGAGTTTACCTAAGAGGCTGTAAGTGTATCATAAGTAATATGTGACATCAGTATAGAAAACAAAGTCAGTACCAAGAGTTGTAAATTTGTTTATTTGTTTACAGATGTGCATGAAGAGAATTTACCTGTAACACCTGGGATTACCTGTGCCGTCCAAGATGACAAGACCACTGTGTTATGTTTACCTTGTATCTGTGATTTATTTTTGTGATTTGTAATACAATTTGAGCCAAAATTCATTGTCTGTTTTCATTTTTTCAGTGTTTTCAAGTTTTATTTCACTTGTAAACACCTGTAATTAGAAAATAACAAAGGTTAGAGACAATAACAACAAAGAATATTAAAGTATACTTAATCCTCTTTACAATGGTATATGATAAATGTATATTAAAAGCAAGTTTCTGGTAGAAAAAGTGCATCAAAAATGATAGTGTGATTTTCCAATCATACTGCCAGGGAGGCCAGTGTACAGGCCTTGTCAGTGTCAGGGACTGCAGGGTCTCAAGGGACATAACTCTGGGGCAGCCAGTGATGAAAGAGTTAATGACCGTCATCCCACCGTAGCCAGTACCAACAATGATCCATCATATATATTCTTAATTACATCACCCTCATGGATCTTCTGCAGCGTATGCTTGTTGTAGGTAGATGGGGTGGTCCGGCACGCTCATAGTATATGTCCTTGTACCCCGATGACGTGGACTGTTGCTCACAATATCGATCACTGGATTGTCTGCTCCAGATTTGATTATTTAGTCGGCAGTCATACAGCTGGAATATTGTTGAGTGTGGCATAAAACAACAAACAAACTTGATAACACCTGTGTATGATCTGCACTAGATGGCTGCCATAGCAACTCCAGTTACATCACTTCTGAAATCAAACAAGCTCCACTCCAGGCCACATGTGAAATCTTTAACGTGATACTGGACAGGCTATAACAGCACAGGGCATGGCTCTCTGCCATGCTACATGCCTTTACCTTCATTTACAACTGAAATGGCTGTACAAATACATTATTAAGTGATAACCAAGTTAGAAAAAAACTATCAGATACCTACAAAAAGCCTTGGTTATCACCAACACGTTCAAAGTTCAGTTTTGCAGCAATTTCAAAATAATCTGGAGGATCGATTTTCAAACCCAAACGGGGAAATTGAGCTCATTCCGTGTGAAAACAATGGAGTACACTCCCTTAGGACCTTCTCAACAGCAAATAACAGTCACAGTGTTGGTGAAATCTTGGCTACCACAAGCAGGCTAAATCAAATTTCATTAATTGTCCTCCGAATAAAACAGATTCAGCAAGAAGACATTTCAATTAATTTGAGCAGGGTATGAACAGTAATTCTTTCCTGCCTGACAATAGTGGAGTTTATGAATTATTAATTTTTGCCCAACACAGAGAGTGGATAAGACCAAACAGAAGCATTGACTGCCATCTAGTCCCCATTGTTTTCAGGGCTAACACGCTGTTATTTTATCATTAGACCAGGCGCCCTGGGAGAAAAGGACACATCCTTTGCACATATTGATAATATTTGAACTTTTTTCTCGTCAATATCCCCCTCTTGGTTTAAGAGATTAAAAACATGACATTATTAAATTTGGACATGTGGTTCAGCATTGTGCCAGGTAACATACCAATCGTGTGTGTCACACTTTAGGTGCCTGCAGTTTGTTTGACAAAGTATGGTTTTTTGGTTCAATTAACTAACAGTGAAAAAAACATGGTGTCTGTTCTTCAGACATGTTATTATCAAGTAAATGGTTCTTGGTATTTTCACAATTACAATGTGTCTACCACTATTCCTGGCTAGTTCTGTAGGTCTAACACAATTCCTGGCTAGTTCTGTGGGTCTAACACAATTCCTGGCTAGTTCTGTGGGTCTAACACAATTTCTGGCTAGTTCTGTGGATCTAACACAATTCCTGGATAGTTCTGTGGATCTGACACTATTCCTGGAAAGTTCTGTGGGTCTAACACTATTCCTGGCATGTTCTGTCAGTCTAACACAATTCCTTGATGGTTCTGTCAGTCTAACACAATTCCTGGATAGTTCTGTGGGTCTAACACAATTCCTGGATAGTTCTGTGGATCTAACACTATTCCTGGATAGTTCTGTGGGTCTAACACAATTCCTGGATAGTTCTGTGGGTCTAACACAATTCCTGGATAGTTCTGTGGATCTAACACTATTCCTGGATAGTTCTGTGGGTCTAACACAATTCCTGGATAGTTCTGTGGGTCTAACACTATTCATGGATAGTTCTGTTGGTCTAACACTATTCCTGGATAGTTCTGTGTAGCAACATTAGCCAACATAACCTTCCAACATTAGCCAACAGCATTACCTAGCAACATTAGCCAACATAACCTTCCAACATTAGCCAACAGCATTACCTAGCAACATTAGCCAACAGCATTACCTTCCAACATTAGCCAACAGCATTACCTAGCAACATTAGCCAACAGCATTACCTTCCAACATTAGCCAACATAACCTTCCAACATTAGCCAACAGCATTACCTAGCAACATTAGCCAACAGCATTACCTTCCAACATTAACCAACAACATTACCTTCCAACATTAGCCAACAGCATTACCTAGCAACATTAGCCAACAGCATTGCCTAGCAACTCATACTTGGATCACAAATGTAGCAATCCTATCACCATCACATTGCAGGGATTTACCTACTGCAGCAAATGTTAGCCACCATTCCCAAATTGGAATTCAACATTCATGCTGTTATAGTTACAACTAATGTTATGGCTTTGTGGAGGCGACTTGAATTTCACTGACAACAATGACCTGTGAAGATCCGGGTTAGAGTAGATCTTCAGCAACCCATCCTTGTCCCAAGAGATAAATATGCTTGTCTTAAGAGGCGACTACCAGGATTGGGTGGTCAGGCTTGCTCACTTGGTTGATGCATGTCATCGTATCCTAATTGTGTGGGTCAGTGCTCATGATATCATCACTAGATTGTCTGGTCCAGACTCGACTCTTTTCAAACACATGTCTTATAGCTGGAATATTAAAAAAACAAACAAAATAGATAAGAGGACCAATATAAAGGCAAAGGCTTTATTGCTTAGTTTAACATTATGTCATTGAATGCAATGTTTAAATTCAAATTCAAATACCTCTGAATTTAGGAAAATAAGAACTTCCCAAATACTTCCAATTTTGAACAAAACTGATTTTCCCAATTTGCCTGCCAAGGGCACATAATTAGGATAAATCCCTGCTTGGTTTACTGTGTAAAACCAAACCATTTCATAGTGATCCCAATAAAATAAAAACGTATTTCAACAGAGGGACCTCTCTTGGAGCAAGTAGATCTTCACCCTACTGCCAAAACATTTCTCAAAATGGTTAAAATATGACATTTCCTCTTAGATACGACACCTTATTTCCATTCTACTCTACGACCTCCTCACAGTGCTACACTCAGAGAATCCCTGATTGTCTCAATGCTATGTACACCACTCGTTTTAGCATATTGCATTCAGACGAAGAAGTACACTATATGAGTCATATATTGACCAATTTTGGCAAAGAGCACTTCTTCGTCTTCATTCATTACCACTGACAACAGGGCCTGTCAATTTCAAACTTTGCGGCAATCAGCGGCAAACATTGCTTTTGTCTCGTCTGTGAGATTTCTGTCCAGTGACACCCAGTTGCGCATCTCCCACAATGCACCAGCCCTCTCGCCATCTCGCATCGAGATGTAAACTATCGAACAAAATAGAATTGATTTGTATAATGAGAGTCGAGATCACAGCTAACCATTTGTGCTGTGCACCCTGCCTTGTGGAGGAGCCATGGAGCCGCGGCGGAGCCACCATGGAGCCAGCCCTGCGAGGCCAGGCAGAAGGCCCTTGAAACAACGCCACACATTGATTGTTCCACTACATGTACACGGGCAGTGATAGCAGGAAATCAACTATCTATTGTCTATGGCGGTCGGGCTAAACAAACCTTCCCATCGCCAACAATAAAATCGGTCAACAATTTTCACTACACGCGTAATGATGATCATTACATGAGCTGTCGACTCCTACTGACAAAACTTTCTCCTGGAGTCCCATACAAGATCTCTCCAGAATCAACTATTGTTGGTTTATAGATAAACACAAATGAACGATGGGCATTATTTTATCAATATTTTCAATTATGATGCATGTATGTCAGTGCCGGCCCATCTCTCCTCGTCTGTACTGCAAGTAGGGAAGGTAGGGTGCTGTGAGATTCGCGGTTCGGTAAGTTTTCATATTTGCTCTTTCCACAAGTTGGGGTGGAAAATGGATTTTCATAACATGCAATTGAAGTAGATGTTTTTTTGTGTATGAGTCTAAGCTTGAAAAGATTCTTGAAACATAGATGGTTATCTGAGACACAGACAGTGATGTTTTGCTGTACAAAACTCCTGTCAAATATTGACAAAGTTAATTACTAGTTACAACGTCAGAGGCCTTGACAAAATTTAGAATTAAACTTTTCTTTGATCTGTAGAGAGCCCTTGCCATGAAGAGTAGACACTGAGTGAGTGAGTGAGTGAGTGAGTAAGTGAGTGAGTGAGTGAGTGAGTGAGTGAGTGAGTGAGTGAGTGAGTGGGATGGGACGCTGGGCTGTGTTATTGCTTGTGTAAAGGCTATCCTATTTTTTTACAAGTTTTCCAAATAAAGATCCATTTTATTATATATTTTCCCCTTTTTATCACAACACATTACTGACAAATTGACCTCAGTCCCCTTCAATTTTATTTCCTAATGAAAAAAGTTGTGATTGTTCTTTATCTCATAAATTTTGTTTAGTTTGAACTGCTTAATAAACATGAAATTACAAGACTAAACAATATCTTATCAATGAACCACCTGACCAATATGACAAAGGCGAATACATTCCTTTGAAATTAGGGCATAATAGAGGTCTTAGCATGTGTCATAGAAATATGAAACCATTTATACCCAATTGGCTTCATTCGAATATCTCAACACTATAGATCAGTATGGCCTTCCTTTCACTGTCACGCAAACCCCATTTTCTACCCAGAATTCTATCAGCAGGAATCCTAACTATATGTATATCGCTTGAAGACTTACACAAATCTGTTTGAATGACAACCATTAACGTCTTGAAATGGACGTCATAAATGCCAGATCACTGTCCAATAGATGTTTTCTGTATGTAGCGGTGAAGCTAGATATCAACTCCAAACAGTATTGTGTCGACATGGAGCAAATAATAAACTGTATAAATGCTGCAGGCTTTATATTAAGCCAACCTTCGCCATACTTTATCTTCTCTTGTCTGAAAAATCACACATTACTTCCGCTCAGGACTTTCCAATAGCCTCTTTTAGACACCTCCACATATTTCCCAGCTATCACCGACGCGGCATAATAGAGGCTATACAAGTCAATTCCAGTACCGACCGACTGGTCCGTATCACTGTACACACAAACATGTCTAACATCTATTTGCTGCCTTTCTAAATAGGTAAAATAAATCAAAATTTCATTATCAAATTGATTTTCATCAACATAATATTGGTGACTTGTCTCGTCCAACAAAACCAGACAATCACAGCGACCTCGTGTTTGTATCATTATTGTTGATTGGGTCGCATATTGCCCATAAACTACCAGCATTCATGTCTGTCATACCATCAATGTCCGATTAATTGACCTGCCTACTGTCACACGAACTGACCGTCAGAGTAGCCATATTGGAAAATATCTCGAGAGTAACTGAAAACTTTATCTAATACTCAAATGATATATTTAATATTTGTTTGTTATCTGTTATAATTGAATTATCAAATTGAGATTGTTACATGAGAATAAATGCCAAAATATCCTTTCAAATATAAACTTCTTCCTCAAAAATCAGTTGGATAAGAAATTACTGATGCTGTCATGAAAATTAAACTGATATCACTAAATAGCAAATGCAACCTTTATACACAAAGACAAATTCAAGAATTGGCAGCAACACATGTTTGAGCATTTCAATTAAAAAATTGATTCCAAAAATAGTTGTAAAATTAAATTAACAACTTTGATTAAATTGAACTAACATACCACAAATTCTTTAAAAATTTCTAACCACTGTGCAAAAAATTCAAGAAGTAGTTTCTTGGAGAAAATCACATTTTTATTCCACTTTCTTGTGAAAATCTAAACATATATTTTTTAGCTTGACCTGTAACCTTTACATGATATCCAAAAGGTCATGAAAATTATTCAGGTGCAAGAGAGGCATCAGTTTTCGTTCCATCTGCGTAGTGGTGGCTATCTGATATACCACTAATGACGTCCACACCTATCGCTGCTCGTCTTGCACCCCACAAGCCCATGAGGCGACACAGCCACACGCAGGTGCCGGAATTCACCTGGAAAACATCGTTACCCACACATACCTTTCATTGACAGGCGACACAAATATTGCCTCCTCAATAGGCTGATCTACTCCCACCAAATTACAACTGTCATGATGGTGTTGAGATTGGGGGTTCTTTTCATACGACAACATGGCAGAAAGTTGCTAATTCTCCTCAGTAAACAGTCACTATAGAGAGCTCCTTTCTCCCCTCACCACACAACAGCGGGATTCAGCTGTCCAAACTGCTTTTAAAATTCACTGAGTTTAAAATGATTATTTGAAGCGATACAGAATGCTTTATATTCTCCTGAATAGATATTCATAACTCTGAACAAAAACCAATGGAGTTTAAAAGCAACGATCACTCTTCAAATACATTATTCTCACATAAATATGTACTTGAAAATTCTATGCCAGAATAAATATATTAGTACTGTAGCTAAATTTCAAAGAATAGCTGAACAGACATTTAAATCTAAGCGATCTTACACAAGTAACGTTTTTCTTGCTTCTGTAGAAAGTGTTTACTTAAAATCATAGATGCATTACCAAATGAACCTAGTCAACAGATGTTATTTGAATAATAAATATGGTATAAAATTGTCAAAATAAACACAAGGAGTCATATGCAATTACATTTAATATTATGAAAACAACTATTTAAAATAAATCCAAAATCATAACAATTGAAAGCAAAACTTGTATTTTTCTAAAAATCTTAAAATAATTCAACTATAGCTTTTTTTCATGGCGTAGCCTACGCCAGATTTGAAATTCAGACATGAAAAACCAACAACAAAACATACAACAGTTAGGATAGAGACATTATTTTCTAAATATTTTTTAAGGATGTTTTGGAAACAAACAAAACACACTGAGACGAGTGAGTCAACCCTGGCTGTAACAATGATCCTGTGTGAACAGTAAGAAGGGTTTGACTGCGGCCCAGACCCTGTATATATATATGTCCAGTATAGTCTGTCACCACATCCAGGATCTAATCATTGCTAATACAAGACAGAATCTACAGACACATCCACAAACAAATTCTTCAAATATCCAAATAGGCTTCTGTGCTTCAATAGCCACAGACAAACCGAAATGGCATGAGACACCTCCCTCACATCATTAGGGTGTAACTTTTCATGATCTCCTACATCAGTGAATGAAGATAAAAACCCTGTTTGTTAGTTTAAGGACCTTCATTGGGACTTATTTTCACAACCTTTTTCACCTATTCAGCAGTGTCAAGCATTAATACTGTCAAGCATTTGTAGGACAAAGGACTTTTCATTTCCACATGATCGAAACCAGCTCTTTTTCCCATAGGAAACTTTATATGTTTGAAATGACTGCCGAAACTCCAGCAATGTTTATATTTGCAATATCTTTCTTGAATCTTCAAAAACATACATGGTTCTGGAAATCTGCTGTGAAATCCCACAAGACTAAAGGTCTTTGTATAAACGATGGAACTTCCTACACCCTCTGTGTAATATTTATGTTAATAAGTTTTTCAGTCCAAATTAACATCCAATATTGTGTTTTTCTCAGATCTAGACATCAGTTCCCATTCTCCAAATTAATAACATTCAATCTACACATTATGCGTGAAATAGCCTCCAACCGGCTGCATCTGATTGCACACGCCTCGTATACAATGACAGCCAATGAAATCATGCTCTGTTGGTTCTACTGCCACCACAACAGACCATCTATTATTGGGCATTCTCCCGACATCCGTCCCCAGACAGGGGGCTTTCATTTCTTGTAATTACTTTGAAGATATGGACATACATTCTTTGAACATAGACCAATATAAAATATCATATATCCATTCTGATAATGTTCTCCGAGAGCATGATGTTATCCAACCCTGATAATACGTGACCAAAATAACCTTAGCGCAGACGACTTCTCCTTCCCTTCCTAAAAAGATGCATTCAAAGCCATACAATGTCCATGGTTGAAAAAAATGCAGTCTTGTGAATACCCGTTAACATGTCCTGTGAATATGTAAACAGAAGACTGCGGCATATAAAGCTGGTCCACAATGGGCAATTTCCTATCATAAAGATAACTCCCGATGCTATCTACATTTCATCATCTCAGGTGAGACTGACGGGAATGTCCTCGTTATCTCACCTGTCTACAGCAATCACAGATTCTATCTCACCTGTCGACAGGTAAGCAGGATGCCATCACAGTGGTCAGGCTCTACTGTGTGTGCAGGTTTTCATGTTGACATCGGTAAAAGCATAACCGTGTTGGTAGCAGTGTTCCTGAATGAGGACAAGATTCGTACATGTGCTAAACACACCAGGATCTTGAAATACAAACTCTTCAAG